CCCTGGCACATAAGGCACTGGGTGAGGTTTTGGAAATTTCCTCCAGTCTTCCTGAAGTGTTCCCACTTCACTCGGACATGGAGCATAAGGCTAGGTTTTTCTAAGGCCTTAAGGTTGTTTAGTTCACTAGACTTTAAGTGAACTAAATAAAAATCATTAGAAATCCCGTTGCGCGAATCGCCAGGACTGGATTTCATTTTCATTTTGATTACTTCCAAGTAATTTTCCCAGTTCATCTTTGATCTGATCCAGGGATTCACCACCGGGCAGTCCTTTCATGACAACCTTGAAAACACTTTCAGTAAAAAAATTATACTGCTTCTCAGTAACATACTTGAGAAAACATTTGAATCCGTCCAAGGTTTCAGCCAATACACGGCATTCACCCCGACGTCCAATTTGTAGAGAAAACTTAACTTTCACGAAGTTCAAAAGTTCCGTGCGAAGAGCATGGAAATCGGAAGTGGTTATCACAATAGGGGGAATCTTTTCCTTCTTGGTATTAAGCCGGGAAAGTTTACTAGAATTTTTCCTGGATGACGGATCATTCTCATCATCCGTGAGCAAATCAAATTGATTACTCAAATTTATTTCATCAAAAAGGGGATCAAGAGATTGCCTTTTTCTTTTGCGCTTAGGCGCCATGGCGGCAGTAAAACGTGTATCCAAATCGACTTCCAAGCAGATTACTGTAAGAATCTGAAGGATCGAAGACTAATTTTTCCAAATCAAAATCCAAGCAGGATTCGCTCGGGTAGAGTCCAAACAAGGATCGAAGAGGAATATGTGTCGAATAAGGTAGAAAATTTACAGGAATACATTTCGGGTGTAATTTTTTTAAGTTGTTCCATGGAGGGTTGAAAGAAGCGGGTAAATTTAAATTCACCGTCGTGGTGATAAATTTGAGGAAAAAGCTTTTTATTGAATATTTCTGGTGTAAAAATATCATCAAGGGATCATGGAGGGACTAATCAAAATAAAAATTGGAAAAATTGAATCACGATAAAAATTTGGAGGTGCACATTTAACTGAAAATTTCTGGTGGAAAGTTTGCTACACTGTGGTGAATGTAGAAGCAAGTTTTATTCATTTGTCTGGTGCTTCATTTGCATCGTTCTGATGTATGCAAACTTCATTGAAAATTTATGGTGGAAAAATTGCAGCATTCTGGTGCATGAAGAGGCAAAGCCTGAAAACTGCACCACAAAAGTGCATGGTGAAACAAACTCCATTGACAATTTTCGGTGCACCGTTCTCTGGTGAATGGAGGAGCATGCTTTATTGAAAATTTCTGATGCAAAATTTTCATCGCTCTGGTAAAATAAATGAACGGAAAATTTCTGGTGGAAAACTTGCACTGGTCTGGTAAATGAGTTAAATAAAGCTTTATTGTAAACTTCTGGTGGAAAATCTGTACCGTTCTGGTGGCAAGCTTTTTGGAAAATTTTTGTTATTAAATTTGAATCCTTCTGCTGAATAGATAAACAAATTAATAATAATTTATGGTGTAAAATTTGCGCCACTCTGATGATTTAACTTACTAAAAATTTATGATGGAAAATCTGAAAATAGGGGCAAGCTATATTTGTTGGAAAACCTGCAACATTCTGATAATAGAAGAAGCAAGCTTTATTGAAAATGTCTGGTGAAAAATGGAAAAAGGAAATCTGCAACAATCAGAAGATTGGAGAAGCAATTTTTAATAAACATTAACGGTTGAAAATTTGCATCGTTCTGATCAATTGAAATTTTCTGGGGGCAAGTTTATATCGCAAATTTTTGGTGGAAGATTTGCAACAATCTGCTGCATGGATAGGCAAGCTGAATTGAAAATTCCTGATTTAAAAATTGCATAGTTCTACTGAATGGGGGGGGGGGCAAGCTTTATTGAACATTTCTGGTATAAAAACTACGACGTTTTGGGGAATGGACGGACAACTTTAACTTGACTTCCGAGAAGAACCTCAAGGGTATTAAATTCTGAGGACAGTTTCAAAAGAAAAAAAAATCTGGGGTGATTCCATGAAAATTTTGCGAATAATTTCTAGTGAATCCTGCAGATAGTTCTAAGATAATTTCTAAAAGAATACCGAGAGAATTAAATTTTGAATGAATCTCCAAAGGAATGTTGAGAAAATTTTCAAGGGAATTCCGAGAATAATTTCAAGCTCATAATGGGAAGAATTTCTGGTGAATGCAGAGGAAATTATTCTGAAACTTTAGTGGAATTCCAGCTCCAAGGTGCTCTAAAAAAAAAGTTCTAAAATCTTCCGAAAAGAACCTCAAGGATATTGAATTCTTATGACACTTCCAAAATATTTCTGGAGAGAATTTAAAGAAAATTCTGCGGATAATTTCTAGTGCATCTTGCAGATAGTTCCAAGATAATTTCGAAAAAAAATACCGAGAAAATCAAATTTGAGTGAAATTCGAAAGAGATTTTAAGCAAAATTTCAAGCGAATTCTGAGGATAATTTCTAGCTCATTCAGTTCGAAGGTATTCTGAGAAAAAATCACGAAGAGTTCTAATTATCATTCCAGTGGACTTCTGAGAAGAATCTCTAGGACATTGAATTCTGAGGACAGTTTCAAAGGATTTCTGGGGAGTATTCCAAGAAAATTCTGCGTATAATTTCTAGTGAATCCTGCAGATAGTTCCAAGATAATTTCGAAAAGAATAGCGAGAAAATTAAATTTTGAGTCAAATCCCAAAGGGATTTTGAGGAAAACATCAAGGGAGTACTGATAATTTCTAGATCATTCCGGATTTTTTTTTTGAGGAAATTCTTCTGAAACTCTAGGGGAATTTCACTTCCAAGGTGTTCTGAGTAAAAGTCAAGAAGAGTTCTAAAAATAATTCCAGAGGACTTCTGAGAAGAATTTCAAAAGAGCTCATAGAGTTTTAAAAATTTCGAAACGAACCTCATGAAATTCTGCAGATGGAATTTTTTGCAACTGTACAAAGTTTAAAGACTTTTGGATTCCCTAATTGAAAAGTGGGTCTTTGTTTGCCATTGAACCTTGGTCTATTGTTGTCTTACTAAAAATTCATCTAAAAATTTTCTCTGAACATTTCAAGTCATTTGTTACCGTGGTTACAGCTGTTTATGTGCGCTGTAATAAATTCGAGTTTGTCCTTTATATCATCTTTAAAACATGTTGAATGATAGGCACATTTTCTGTCACCCCGACTGGCGGTACTTTGGGACGGTTCGTCATCGACATCATCGATGGGGTTAAATTGCCAATTTCCATTGGCTGTCTGAAAGCAGTTTGCATTAATGGAGATGAACCACCACCGGAGCAAAAAATATTTCCCCAGCACTTTGGAGTACTCCCCATTCCCAGATTAAATGCTCCATAGAAGAAAAAAAATGCCCCTCCTTAACAAGATTCATGTGCACGCTAGTGCTCAACGTAGAATAGATTTTCATTGCTCAGTTGACTACTAAATTAAATACCAAAATATTGATATCGTGCTATATTTGAAATATTAAAGTGGCAATAAAGGAAAGATCGTTACTCTCCAGATTGGTCGTAAAAAAGTAAGTTTAGTGACAACATTTTAAGAAATAGGGACATTATTGACTGACTTGAAAATAATGACCTAGCCTCTAAAAAATGACCCGTTTTCAGCGTTGAAGATAGAGCTTTTTGTACTGAGCAATATTTGTTCTACGGTTACTATTGACATATTCAGCCAAGGTGTCCCACCCCCTGCATTGACCCGATCCACTAGAATGTGTTTAACAGGATTCGCTCAATACGACGCCATTGTACTGAATTAAATGATTTAATAATAATTTATTGATTTCTAGAAGTTCTCCATGTTTCCGTTTTGCTGGTTTCAAATTTATTAGCTGTTAAAATACCTATGAAAAAAATGGAATGAGAGTGATCTGGGAAGATGGTTACATTCTATTCTCCCACAGGTGTCGATCAAGCCGTGGTTCAAAGGATTGGACATGAGCCGTGACTTTATACGTGTCATGTCGAGGCTCATGTCCAATCACTGCTCGTTAGACTCGGCCCCCGCTTTACTAACGTTAGTTTTAAGTAAATTTGTAACCCAAACGATGAATATCGGCTCCGCAAAGCTACGGCAAATGAGCCTGGAAAAAATGAACACATTAAAAAAAACTACCTATAAGTATACAATTTAAATTTAGTGAAAACTTATGTAATTACAGTTAACTTTTGAGAGGTTTCAGACTCCACCCTCCCTGCATGGAAAATCAGCCAGTTATTTTATTTTTTTAAATTGTTTAGTCCGTGGACATTTGCCACCCCCTCCCCCTAAACTATCTATTGTTTTGTAAGTCGATAATTCTATAGCTCAATAGTCCCTTCAATATCCAGCTGTAGAGCGTTCACTGTAGCTTACGATATTTCTCTTTCCAATCAACAGATCCACCCACTGCGTTGCATTTCCCGATTCGACTACCCCACGATCAGCACACGACGAGAATCGCACCTGTCCAAATTTCCCTCGCTTTCCCTGTCGGAACCGTGGGCGAACTTTCCCCATCGGCAAGCGGAACCAGAATGAAAAGCACCGCTCGGAAAAGGTAAATAAACCGCCACTCAACCACTCGCTCTTTCCACTCACTCATTTCCACTCACTCACTTCTTGCCGTCGAATCATCCGATCGGTCCTTCGCCGTAGTATAGCATTTTTCAACCCTCCCGAGGGGAACAGTCCCGATTGCAAGTTTCGAGAGAGAGAGACTGGGTGGTGGCACTCACCGAACAGCAGCAGGTTTGAGTTTGAGACCCCACAGAGGCAAAAAGAAAAACAACACATGGCAAAAAAAACCTGATCACTGGACTCACACACACACACACTTGATCACCACCACTACTGTGGCGTTAGTCGTGTGCGCCGGGTGGTAGTGGTGAGTTGTTTTGGTTCGTCGCAGCAGCAGCAGCAGCAACAGCAGAATCAGCACAAGAAGCGAGCAAAAACACACAACGAGACCGCGCTCACTCGCTCGCTCGTTCGCTCCGCCAGCACAGTGTAATATGATTGAATTGGATTAGTCAACTGCTGGTATTATACCAGAAAACATCGTTTTTTGATAGGGGTTCGATAGGCGATTATTGTGTGTGCGGCGGCGGTTTGTTCTCGCCCCAAAAGAGCCCAAATTCTGCAAGCGCACTGATTACGGTGCCGATGAGTAGTAGTACTAGCACTGAGCCATTCGCGTAGTTTAGTACACGGAGTGCACTGCATAGCGGTAGTGTCGCGAATAGGGTCGACCTCGAGGACCCCCAATCTACACTCGGTTTTTATGCTACACACCAATCGCGCGCCCTCCCCCCCGCTGGTGACGAAAATTGCGGAATTTTCAACGAGTTCAGCAGTTCGCTTTTGTTTTTAAGAATTATTTTCCGACAAATTGTGTGAAATTGTTTCGTTCGATTGCGAAGAAAGTGAATATCGAATGTCCGATCGGCAGAGGAGATCGAAGCAAGCAGACGAAAAATTCACCGCCACTCGGTGGTAACTAGATCGTGTTGTTGTGATCGATGGTCAAGTGTTCTAGAGTGGCAGCTGCGAGTGACAACAAATGAAGCGAAGCGGTGCGTGTGATTTTAATGGTTTTCAAAAAAAAAATCGTCTATCGGGTTCACTTCGTCTATTCTTGGTTTTTTTTTTTTTGGTTTTCCTTTCGGTCTTCGATAAAAATTAATTAAGACAGCACACAAACCGGGTGAGATGAGCAGAAGCGAAGAAAAATTATTGCGACAAAACTCAAAAATAGATTTCTGCGTGGGACATTTAGTTAGAAGTCGGCGAAGAATCGTTGCGTGTTTTTTTGTGGGAAGTTTTATGCGTTGTTTACAACTAATGTGAAATTAATTTCTGACCTTCGAGACGCAAGAGTTGATTGCGATTGTTCTGAATCCGAGTGGCAGATCGGCTGAAAAAAAAAAGATCAGGTGGAAGTGATTTAATGACCCCAAACAGTTAAAAGTCACAAAGTTATCACAGGAGAAAAAAAAACAAAACAAAACCCACCACCCAAAAGTGCAATTTTATGGCAGAGCTGTCAAAATGCAATAAAAAGCCAATTTATCGACCACAAAGGGAAGTTGAAGCAAAACAAAACGCGTCAAATGAACGGTGAAACAGTGCAGTTCCGAAGGCGAAGAAAGAAGCGAGATGTCCGGTGATCGATATCAGTGAATGACCGACCGGTTGCTAGCGAAGAAGAAAAAGAAGAAGAAAAATCATTCAGTGAACGTGAGTTTGACTCAGTGAAGAAGAGCCTAGGCCCTAGAGGACCCCCTACTCGTAGGTGGCTGTGAATACATTTTTTTGAACTAACTGTCGAACGCAGTTGCCGCAGTGTCCTCCGTGATTCCCTTAACAACGGCGACGACCACGACGACTACGACAACGGCTTCGTCGTCCAGTGCCACTGCTGGTGGCCGGCTGCTCGAAGGGGTTGGTGGTGGTAGGCCGCCACCGTCACCGCCATCACCGGAACCCAGCCTCAGCCTGAACCAGCACCGAATGCAGCCAACCGTACCGCAGAGCACGGGAGGTGGTGATATGGACCTCCCCACCGTACAATCGATGGATTGGGTGTTCCAGAACAAGCAGCTCTACTTCCTAGCGCAGTATCTAGCACAGGTAGGTGCCCGGCGTGAAAAATCCCGGAAGTGTCAACAGTTCCGTGACCCTGACCCCCAAAAAATCTCCCCGCATAGACCGGAAGTGATTTCATAATTAAGAAGTGTGCTCATCACGCAGCTTCCACCACCAGTTGAAGAGTTAATGACAATCGAGCGCTGAAGTGCTGCTGTTGTTGTTGTTGGTTGGTTGGTTGGTTGGTGGTGTTCTTACAAGTTTGGCTGTTGAGGCGACCCTATTTTGTCGTCTCGGCTGTCGGTTCGGGTGGCACCTAAATGCCGGGATGGTGGTAAATTTTTCAACACGCACTTTTGGGGGAAGCCTACCGGGCACCCTGCTGGGATGCCTACTGCTTTAAAACATCTCCAGTGGTTGAGTGAAGATTTTCTTTAAGGTGGTTGAATGTTGGAAAAGAAAATTTTGAGTGAAAAACATGAAAATTAGGAAAACGGTGCGGGAATACCACAAAAGAATGTTGCGAAATTCCAACACACAGCAGTTGCTGTCTCGTTTGTGTTTCCGATTTCCGCTGATTGGGGTTCGTGGTTCGTGCGCGCAAGTAGCGACGGCATTTTGCAAAGTCTCCTTTGCAGCGAGCGGCTGGTGCTCGTTGTGCTAGGAAAGGCGGCCAAAGTGTTGTTCGTAGTGTTTGTTGATTTGAATTAAAAAAAGCAATTAAACGAACTGTGTATGAAGATTTGCTTGACCCTGTAAAGAGGAGAAGATGATGTCATTCATTTTTTGATAGCTCGAAATGACCGAATTTCGATTAAGCTCGAAATTCGGTCATTGAAAATGTGTTCACGGTGTTGTGATAGTTTTCATGAACGTAATTTTGGTTTCGAACGAATTTTTGAAAATTAATGACGTCCCCTTTCATCTTAACGGAATTTAAGGTTTATGGAATATTTTCGAAAAAAAATGCTTCAACATTTGCTCTAGTTGCTACACACTTACAAAACTAACTAACTGTTTAAGGGAAAAATGATTATTCCAAACAGGGTTGGCATGCACAGTTTTTAGCACAAAGAGCCAATTTTTTTAAAAACTTTACAATAGATGATTTTTATTTGATTTTTCGTTTTTCTTGAAGCAACCGATAAAAAAGATTTAGGTTTTCATATGTTTATGCAAAATTCTGTTCTCATTTTTGCGTCACAAAAACGAACGGAAAAACGATGGTTGGTCTATTTGGACTTTTAATTGAATAAACTCATTTGTGTGAATTCAAATGTTGGAATTTCACTACTCTGTGCGTGTCTACAGTGAACTCCGATCTTACTCTATAATTTGCTAAAAGCAAAACAAAATTTCATGAACTGAGTGAAAAGTTAATAAGCAAAGTGCAATTTGAGGGAATAAATGGGCATGCCAATCCTGATCCCAAGTTATAGTATAAATGTTAAACCATTGAAATCGTGACTGGAAGCTTCGAATCGGATATCAACTTCCACTCTAAATAGTATAGTGAAGATGAAGTGCAATGCAATTATTTAATTATTTAATAATGTTTCGCGAAACAAATTCAAGAACATGGACAAAGCCAGTCGATTTTTGTTTTAAACAGTTTGTCAATAGCGGAAAAGATACTTTGTTCATCCACCAAATTTGGTTGTAAATCGTGCAATATTTTGTGAAAACATTCAATGAAAACATGATTTTATCGTTAACGGTTCTAGATTAGCTAAATTGGGATAGTTCAAAATAATATCCATAATTAGTTTTCTTCGATATTTGTATGAGGGCCTTGCGAAAGAAAATATCCAAATTTATAAATCTAGTTACAAATATTAGTCGGGCACTGCGGGCAAAGTTTTTTTTGTTATCGATATCAACCATACATTATCATTCAAAATGATTAAACCTCAATAAGGCCGTTGTTTTTTTAAATAAATAAAATCATTTTTGAACAAGAAAAACAAATTTACGACTCATTTTTTTTAATGCGTTTATTTTTCAGGCTCATTTGCTGTAGCTTTGCGGAGCCGATATTCATTGTTTAGATTGCAAAATTACTTAAAACTAACGTTAGTAAAGCGTTTACGATTCATGATTATTAGAAGTTTTCGAAACAAACACTTCAATTAATCTAATTTAACTTTAGTTTTTCTCTGACGTTTTTCCCCAGCTTTTGTAGGTGACTTACATTATTGTTGGTTTTAAGCCGTTCGTAATGCTGTTGTATTGTATGTGGACTGTTTCAATGAACATAAAAGCACCCCTCGCAATGCTGAGTTGCAGTTTCATTATTCGATTTGCAACTGCTTGACTATTCGGTTTTACTTCTGAGCGGGTTTGAAATACGAATGGAACTCTGTCTAAAATTCCTTTGGATATATTTATTGTTGTTTCTTGTAAATGTTCAGAGAACTTCATAGATGTTGAGAAGATTCAATAGAAATTTGGCAATTTTATAGAAATTTTGGGAACTTCTGAGAAGTTTGAGGGTATTTTATGAAGTTTGGAGAACTTTATTTAAATATCGAAGAGCTTAACACAAAAATCTGAGAACCTCATAGAGAATAATAAACTGTATTGAAATTGTAAATAAAGAAAGTTTCAGGGACTGAGATCGGGAACATAATAGTAGTTCTAAGAATTTCATAGTAGGGGAAATGGCTCTAATGTTGGCCTATGGATCTAAGATTGGGCCCATTGCTAAAAATCTGCTATTTATCAATTTTATCTAGATGAACGCGTCATTTCGACAGTACTAATGTATAGTTCTTCTTCTTCTTCTTCGCATTTCAAGCTTATTGCATATCGCATATTTAGCTTATTGCGTGCTCTCAACTTAGTGTTCTAGATGCACTTCCACAGTTATTAATTGAGAGCTTTCGATGCCTGTACCATCTTTGCATCGGTATAATTGTGTGGCAAGTCCAATCATACTTCTATGCCCAAGGAAGTCGAGAAATTTTCCAACCCGAAAAATTCCTAGACCGAACCGGGAATTGAACCCAGCCACCTCCAGAATGGTCTTGCTTTGTAGCTGCGCCTTTACCGACTGAGCTAAGGGAGGCCCCTAATGTATAGTTTTGGACGCTATTGAAAATTTATTCGCTTGCTGAATTTTTGTATGGCCAAAATTAGGGGCATTTAGGCCTACATTACATCCATTTCCCCTATACCATAGTAATCTTCACAGAATGTCATGAAAGCGCTTACGTCTTTTACATCAAGAAGCTATTCTCTCATATGATACCAGGCTGCTCAAAAATTATTCCAATGACCTTTACGTGTGCTAAGATCTCCATGAAGTCCTTTGGTTATTATTTCAAGACTTCAGGTTGATCAGGTATCATTCTGAAAAAAATTCAACTATCCAACAATCTCAATCACATCGCTCAGATATATGTCATATGATACCAGGCAGCTCAGAAATTATTCCATGTGTTTTAAGATGTCTATAAAGTCCTGTGGATACCTTTTCAAGACTTCAGGTTGTTCAGGTACTATTCTGATGAAGATCTCAAACTATCCAGCAATTCAAATTACATCTCCCAAATATTCTCTCATGATGCCAGAGATCTAAAAAAACTTATCAGGATATTCTCATGTCTTCAGGTTGATTTAGCATAATTCTGAACATCTTCAACTGGCCAACAACTTAAAGCATGCCTCTCAGATATTCACCCACGATTCCAGGTTGCTCGGGAATTGTTTCAAAGACCATCAGGTGATCAGCGATCTCCATAAATAATCATACACTTCAAAGAAAGAGGAAACGACGAGTAATTTCCAGAGTTGGTTGAAAATGCTATACCAATATCTGGCCAATGACCCTTCAACCGAAACAGCTGTTATATGTTTCATCAAGGACGCCAACATGTATAAGAAAATCTGACCTAACTCACTGACAAGAACCAACCATAACCGACCCACTGCATCGAACCAGGACCAACCTCTATAACGGATTCTGAATACACCACCATAACAATTAGCCGACCAAATGCACCAAACTAGCCGACCAAATGCACCAAACCTCGACAGCCAACTCTGATTAACAAATACTCTGTTACTAGGGAGGTCTCTTCCGAACTGTCCACTCCTCTTAATTAATGGGTCCCTTCTGGATACCCAACCTCATTAACTCCCCACCCTTCTAACCTATACCAATATCAACATAAAGCTTTTGTGTGATAATTTATCAGCTAGAGGAGGTTCTGAAGAGGTTAGGTTGATAGTTCCGCTAGAGTATGGCAGTGTGCAAACTGAATAGAAGTTGAAATTGTGCGAAGGGCCATTAATGCGACAGTACTAGTCAAACGCACACTCCTTTACCTAGCTCATACATCAATGAATGAGGGGACTTGAGGTTTTTCCTCAAATCCACAGGTCGCATTATCGCACTAAAGCTTCAAGTTTATATTCGTATAGCATTTCCAACTAACTCTGACAATCGTAATCGTAACTCTGAATAATTTGAGTGTAGTATTTTCCATCTAATTCCGCAGCCTTAATTGCTTATCCTTAACAGACACACTTATTTCGTCTAGATATTATGATATGTCAAGATAGCGAAAGCGGAATGGCAGCGGCAACGGAAAAGCCCGATCGGAGTAAGCCTACTTGACGGATTGAAAACTAGTTAGAACCAAATCGACTTCGGTTAGGCATCTTGATGCCATTTGTGACAACTGTCGAATTTTCCGTTTCCGTTCCGCTCCGCCCACATTGCGTTTGGGCCTTTACAGTCATCTGCCATAAAATCCTCATAATCCCATGGTCAGAAGCAGTGAAAATATCGAAAAATTTGATAGCTATCAATCAACGCCTCAATGCTTGGCGACATCGTTCTGATGAGACAACGAAACCCTACCCCCAAGCTCCTCCCCTTTTCCTATCCTTCGACAATGTACCTCTCTAACCTCGAGTAAGTCGCGAGTATTCGGCCCAACTCCTACTAGACATAGAATTAAATGAATTTTGTTACAAACAAAAGACAATGAATTATCGGCTCCGTAAAGCTCAAGCGATTGAGCCTTAAAAATAAACGA